GTAAAGCTGTCTTGTGTTCCCTATAGTCGCCGCCTTTTCCATCTCTTTTGCTTTCGTTGCCCACCACTGCTCACGGTCGTTCCTTAGACTTTTTCTTAACCTAGATCTGATTTGTTGTCGCTCTTCATCATGTTCGGAACCTGATGGGACGAGTTTGCGAGAATCCATCAGTGTGATAGACTTTGAAGAAATCCACTGGTTCTTTGTAACTCTGTGGTTTAAGTCACTAATAGATGTCACTGCTGTTTCCACAGCTGCTTGTATGCCTTCCAAGCAACATCTGGGTCAGCCTCGTCTTCACAACTACCTAAGTGTGACCTCAGTTGTTCCTGGAACCTACTTTTGGTTTTCTCGTTACTCAACTCAGTTCTAATGGGTCTTTTTAATGTGGCTTTTTTGCGTCCAGTGAGGCGCAAGCAGATGCGTGCCCGTATTAGGGCATGGTCGGAGTCCAAGCAGGTACTCCAGAATGAGCGACAATCTTCTACCGACCCTCTCCAACGATGACTGATGGCAATATGGTCTATTTGAGTCCATCGTTGGTTTGGTGTAGGGGGTCGCCATGTTAGACGATGTCTCTCCTTATGCTTAAAATTTGTGTTTGCTAAAAATAAACGATTGTCTGAGCACAGTTGCAGCAGACGATCACCATTATCTGTTCGCTGTGCCGGAATACTAAAATATCCACCTAAATGCCTTTCTGTTTGGTTTAAACTACCTATCTGAGCATTAAAATCACCCTACGAGTACTATGTCTGAGCGTTTAGCTTTCTGAAGAAGTTCGGAAGCTTTCTGTAAAATTCATCTTTCACTTCATCTGAGCTGCAGTCAGTGGGAGCGTAGGCAGAAACGACAAAAAGGCAACGACGTGTGTCCCTATCCTTCCGAGTTCTTACGGAGCCGTTTAGCCGAACAGCACATAGACGACTGTTGACGGGGATCCACTCTAGCAGTGCTTGTTCGCCCTCATGCTTAGTGCTATGCCTACACCTGCCAGTCCACGAGAACTGGCCATCGGGTCACCAGATACACGAAGGGTGTATCTCGTTGGCTCTCCGTTTGCCGAGGTGAGGTCAAGTGAATGACCACACTGGAATCCTGTATGCGTGTTTCGGAGACACAGCATACATCAATGGAAAGAGACTCTAGGGTTTTAGCCAAGGAAGCCTGCTGACCGATTTGACATAGGGTGCGTACGTTGAAGGCTCCAATGTGTAGTTTGGAGCGAGGTTTCAGTAGACCTGGGACAGTGTTTTGAGCACTAGAATCGTTGGCTATGGTGACACTTGAGGAGGAAGCCGAAGGAGGAAGTTTAGGGTTGAAAGTCGATGTAGGAGGAATAATAGGAATTGAAGAGGAAGGTTGATTATGAATACAGTGGTCTTGAGTGCTGTTAGAGGTATGAGGGCGGTTATCACTTCCCGGTTGCCCACACCGTGGAAGGGTTCTTCTGGAGGTACCTGAAAAGGAAATTGGATTAGAGGTGGTCTCAGTGACCTGAGAGCGTGACCGCAGTGCCCAAGGGACAACTGCTTGAGGCCGGTCGCGCACGGCCTTTTCGTGAGAGGTTTGTGACGTGTTAGCTCCGTTCTTCAAAGGGCCTTACCGCCGGAGACGGATATCCGTGAGGTAAGGTGAGGTGTGCATTTTTAGGGTCGACCTTTTCTAACCCCACCCCTCCTTGTGGGAAGGCAGCATCGCTGTCATGCTGGTTGTCTGAAGGAAACACCTTACTGCTGTCACACCTCTGTACAGTCAGCAGTACGACTTCGCCTTCGGACCTTGGGTTTGTTGCTTTTAGTCTTACCGCTCTTCAACCGACCTGTCTGACATGGTAGGACCTTGAGGAACGGTTGTTCCAGCCAGTATAGCTCGGTTGCTTCATCACGATAGGCAAGCCCGACCGCCACGTCAAGGTAGCAACAACGGTCGGGTTGAATCGGACGTAGGCTCTCCTTTCTGTTCTACCAATGTAACTGCTTTGGCAGATACATGTAAATTTGTATACACAGTTGGTGGTAACATGAAAGGGATACCTGTCGACCTTTGATTGTGTCAAGGAACATGTTATTTTGGACAGGACAATCAATTTAGCTGCAGGATATGTTTTTGTCAATGCAGTTTTTAGTCTCATATTGCTTGACCCTGTGACATTATCACCTTTGAATTTGAGTTGAATAAAAACAGGTTTTTTATTTACTGTGGTTTCTTTGGCTATTTTATCTCCACGTTCTCCATATTTCTCAATGAATTTCAATGGGTATCCACTATTCCTTAAAAACTTTTTAAAATTCATAACTTCCTCTTCTATTGTATCGGTAGTACATATTCTTTCTGTTCTGTGAAACAATGTTTTGACAAGTGCCTTTTTATAATTGATTGGACAAAAGCTGTTGAAATCGAGATAAATACCATTCCATGTGTCTTTCTTATAAACAGAGCGTTGAACTGTACCATCCTTTCTTCGTTTCATCGCGATATCGAGAAAATGGAACATGTTTTCTTTTTCATGTTCCATAATGAAATAAATATTTGGATGAGCTTCATTGAAAATTTTTAGCAGATTTGTTGCGTGTTGTTGATTATTACATACGATGAAGGTATCATCAACATCCTCGAATAATACATCATTTCATCAATCGCTCCTTTGAGCTTGGTTCTTTCGAGGTTAGCCATGAAAATGTCTGCTAGGACGGGGCCTAACGGACTTGCCATTGCTACACCATTGGTTTGTCGGTATATAGTATTGTTGAATTGGAACTGAACATCTTTTGTACACAAGAGTAATAGTCGTTTGAATTCCATTGCTGGTAGAGGTAGGATATCAGGATGCTGACAAATTATGTCTATGGTTTCAAGAAGTGGTATTTTTGTAAACAATGATGTCACATCAAAAGAAACTATAAACTTACCAGCAATGTTTATGTGATTCAAGCCGTCAGCAAATGCAAATGAATCCTTTAGTGTATAGGTGGCTAATCGTTGACGAAGTGGTTCTAATTTATCTGCCAGCCATCGTGCAACTTTGTGGTATGGTGAATCTTTAATCAAAGTCAAAAATCAAAGCCAAGACAAGGAAGACTGAAGAACATAAAGTGTAGCTAAAAGAGATCTGAATAAAGGTTAGAATACATGACAGGGAAAAGGGACGAAAAAATGATAATACTGTTCAATAAAATGCTTTGGAGAGACTTTCGGTGTGTTCTTTCCGTTACACTGGCCACCCGAATCCCTCCAGCTACGTAAGGACATCTCCGAAAAGTCAAGCACTGCTTTCCTAGCTAACTACTCTGTGTCAACTGGAAGCACAGGACTTACAACAATATGCCTGTAAAAGCCGAAGCATTCGAAGGCTTTAGTGGCTGATCAACTACTCTACCTTCTTCAACGTACTTATAACCGCTTTCTATGTCACTGACAGTGCCTTCTGTGATGGGCAGTGATTATATTCTACTGGTGTCATCTGTGCAAGGGATAATAATACTGGTCCCATCATCTAGTTTATAATCAATCTCCACTTTAGCCTTTGATGAAAAACTTTTATCATCCATTACAACTGAAGGGGCTATTTTCGCTATATCACGTTCAACATCGGTTTGAGAGATATGGCTTACTATATTCTGACTACGCTTTTGCGGAATGCTGAGCTCAAAAGAATCAAGTACTTTCTTTCTGTCACAATGATTATAATTGAAACCATGAGGCGATCTAAGTTAGATCACTATTAGAAACTTGGAAGCACTGGAAGACTGGTTCGCTCTAGTATGGTACTCCTCAGTAGTTCGATTCCCGGACGCTAGGTAGTGGGTGGGCATTACTGAGGGATCTCATACTAGGAAGAGACGGCTATCTAGTGCTCTCAGCCTTTGAATGATTGTGTAAATTCAACTGGTTCATGACTCTAATGAAATTTAAAAATCTCGACAACCCCTTACTGGAAACTATGATTATAAATAGAATGAACAGATATGAATAGCCATCTTGAGAACATATAGCAAATCACTAAATCGAATTGAGTAAAAATCGATTTACAACCAATAGAAACATAATCAATATGTTGAATATCATCTTTGAGATAGACTACATTTTTCACTGTAACTAATGATGATAATTGATGAGAATATTAACTGACATCCCATTGTAAAAGATGGCTGTTACGTTTTATATCAGGATCCGACTGTAGTCGTCATTCAATACCGTAATAGAGGTTCAGTCTAGGATATTTTGATCACGTGAAAATATGGCCCATAAGATCCCTTATCAAAAGATAGCAAGGTTCTTGATGTATATTATTTCGGGACTATCAAAGACGAAACAACTGTCTCCTACCTCCCAGTTTTCAATGGATCTTGAATTGATGCCATGTTTCACGGATTTTAATGGCTTCTGACTACACTGATAAATGGTCATTACGCCATAGCTAAATTTTGGTAAACCTAACGGAATCGTATTCATTTCAACTTAGTCTTTAGAAAAATCAAGAGATTAACTCAATATAATCTCTACTATCAAATATAAATTTATGATCTATACTGTAAGAAGTAAACAAGAACAGTGCGAAGTGGTTTTGATTCATTAATTTCTCTTCTTCTGAATGACAGAACCTAATATTTGGTTGAAACATGGACATTAAAAATTCTTACCATGTTTTTGACGAACCAACTGCTCTGCCAATCACCAACAAACATTTATGAATTCATTGTCACAATGGTAAGAAACTCACAGTTTTAACTAAACTATCCAGATATTATGTAATACTTTCTGTTAACTAATGTAAATATATTCAAGGTGAAGTTTATGTGTTTCAGATTAGATCCTTAAAATGACTGAAAAAAAGCTCTATTAAATGTCATAATAATAATTACGATGGTAAACTATTGTAGTTGTTTACACATACTCACTCTTTTCTAAGAAAAATTTTGCTTGATTTCAACAGTACAATCAATTGAATAAACTAGATGAATTATATTAAAAAATTAAAAGAAGTATTGATATGAAGTGTGGATTTATAATTTGTTGATCATTTAACCATAAATCTATGTACGTTACATTTTACTTATTTCTACCTGAAAATGTAAATAAAACTATTAGCCTATTTACACGTACAATAGTTTTGTTAAAATTTGTCTCTCATTTAAATGAACTATTTATTATCATCAATATTTGTGTTTGTAATGTAAACTAAAACAACAAAATACAGATTGATTGTCATAACACTATGACACAGTTCATTAATATTTCGGTAAGCAAACGTACAGAACATTGAAACATATCTAAACAGTGATTAAACCTTACTATTTAATACAATTACTACTACTACTACTACACACTAGAAATATTCACATTGATAATAACTATAAAAAATAAACAGTGAAAATAGCCAGAACAACAAAGACAAAAGAAACTAGTAGGACTATAAGCTAAACAATACGATTAGCACACTTATATACATAAATAATAATAACCGATGGAAAATTTAGTAAAATAATGAAGTTTATGTTGTAAAAGTCCATCTTATTATCACTGTCGATAATATAAAACCAAAAAAAAGAAGAACAAAACACAATTACAATAACAAATAATCAATAAAGAGAGAACATAAAAATAAGAACTGATGTTCAATATTCGAATCCGTTTGAATGTCGTATTGATTTTTAAGTCAAGTTTATGTTTATATGGATATTTATGAAGTAAACACTCACTTTAAAATTTATGAATAAAAATTCTGTAAATATATATATTTTAATTATTTGAAGAAAAGAACACATATATTTACAAACATAGTGTGAGGTAGAATTCATACATAGTTTTTCTTGATTGTTCTTTAAAAGAGAAAAAAAGAAGGAACCATAATCAAACAAATTTTGTATTCATATGTTTAAATATTCACTAAACAAACTAGTTATAGTAAAAAAAACTACTGTTCATGATTAAGTAGTAGTATAGTTTGTGATATCCAAAATGGTAAATTCTCATTAATCAACATGATAGTAACACAACATCAACAGTTGCGTTAAAAAAAAGCACACACACATAACTGTAATCAATAAAAAATAGATGTGAAACAAACAAATAAATGGAACTAAACGAACAATATCAAAACAGAATGTTCTTTTTTCTTCTGTTTTTACTCAACATAAAACTATAGAATAATAGTAATTTGTGTAGACTATCCATTGTCATGATAATCTTTGGTCATTTCATCACTGTATACATACTGAATGAATAATAATAAATTCTTAGTTATATATTGGAATGTAATAATAGAAATGCTAATTGTAGATTTTCTTACAATAAAACAAAGAAATCCATGTAAATTGACTTTATTATTATTATTATTATTATTAGAATTGTGATTAAACTTTATCATTATTACTATTCATATTGGTTAATAATTCTAAATAAGCTGGAATAAATTCTGCATAATATTGACTTTCTTTTAAATAACGTAATATATGAGGTGGTAATGGTAATAAATCAATATGATCATGTCGAACATGTAATAGCAATTCAAAACGACATAAATGTACTAATGATGGAACAATTAAAAAACGTGACAATGGATGAATTAAAGAAGCTTTAATATGTGTAGTAGAGGTAGAACGGCGTGTGGATTCGAATGGTTGTGATGTATTATTATTATTATTATTATTATTATTATTATTATTATTATTATTATTATTATTATTAAATTGTTGAAGTTGCCGATGTTGGTCAGATTGATGTTGATCATTATTAATAAACTGTACACTGGTATTAATATTAATAGATAGTGAAGAGTCATCAAGAGTTGGTAAAAAATGCATACGATCTTGAAAAGAATCAACCATTACACGTTCAATACATTCAGCTACACTTGATGAAACATTGTCATTTAAATCATTTAACAGAGCCAGGCTAAATTTACCTGTAATTATAAATGAACAAATAACATAGGATAACTATTGTAATATAATGAATATTTTAAAAATATTTTAGATAGAAAGTTTCTAAAGATTATGAAATTTTCAGTTTACATCATAGACTAATCTTAGCTAGAAAACCGTTGGAAACTAGGAAGTATTGAACGTGCAATAACGTGAAATAATAACAGTATGGTAGTCTAGATATTAAGAGCACACAATGAGACTGAATGTTCTGGGTCCGCCCGTTGTGGCAGGGTTGTGGATGTGCACTGCTGAGAAATCCCATATTAAGATGAAACAACTTTCCATTGATTCCTGGATCTCAATGATCGTCTAATTAAAAGCATTCTGTGATGTAACATGTGAAATTAGAATCTCAGTAAAATAAACAACTTCATGGTTAACATTTATATCAGTGTTGATTGGTGAATAAACTTTACCAGAATATTGAACATCTAGGTTTATACTTTATTATCTGAATTTTCAAAAGTTGTCTGATATTGCAATGAAACCTCAAAGACTCGAAATACAGTTCTTCAGTAAGGCAGTAAAAGATACTTAATTTAGTGAATTAAAATTCGATCAATACCAACCACTACAGAAAAAGAATGACCAATTGGTTTCTCGTATACATCAAACCTTACCGCAAGAGACTTGTTTTGTCATGGTAATTGTAGCGTTAATACTTTAAACCATAACATTTAATGACATTCTTTTAAATTTGTAATGAGCCATGCCTTTAAAGACAACATATAAGACTTGTTATTTGTGTGTTGAACACAAATTTTCTGAAGTGTAAGGCTCTCCGTTGGCAATATAGACAGAACCAATATCAAATACAATTTACTGTTCTTTTGGTTCAAATTCCTGTTTTTAGTTGTTGACAACACTCGAAAAGTAAGACTGTAATTAGAGTTTGCCTGTTTATGGTTGCTCATTTTATACTACTTACTAATATTTAGTAACTTATATCGTCCTCAATCATTTTTAGGTGCTTGACGATGAGTCTTCCCCGTTAATGTGCGGTTTAACTAAGTATTTCTACGAAAATGTGATATTTGACCCATTTACTATTGTAATTATATGTAATTAACATCCTTAAACGTTTGTCTTCATTTCTTATGTTTTCATTAAACATTTAGTTATTTGTAACAGTACATATATTTGTTGCGTACATTTCTCGTTTCAATTTGTTAGTTGATGTATAGTGTCGGTTATTATGTTAAGCCCATATACCTTATTCTAGCTTTCGGACAGCCCATTCTATTCATTCTACTTGAGTCACGTTTTGACCTTGTTAATTATTCGCTTATCAATCTTGACTGTTTTTATATGAGCGCGTAGGTGTGTGTACACTTCTTATCCATTACTCATCACATATCTGTAGCTTACTTTTGTGTAACTATAAATATTAATTAACGTTTGGTTAAAGGGGAGTTGGTTTACCGCCATCTCCACTGCGCGTCGTTTTGCTTTGTTCTATTCCACTCGCTTCATATACAAAATATATGTATTCACAAGTCCATTCTTGTTGTTTAACTTATCTAAATCCGTTATTGACTAACGCGATTAAAGCCGATGATTATATACGAGGATAGGCAACATATATATTTCAATAAACATCATTCATATGATCGAATTAAAGTCAGAACTCAGGCCACTCAAGTGGAGAGCCTGTCAACAAACATCGTCCGATTTAAATGACGGGCCCCACAGATGAATTGTTCGAGCTACTGGCTGTTAATTAGTTAACCAAATGTTTTTTGTAAATAATTCCTATATAAATATCACAAAAGGTACTTCTCCTCTGTCCATACCTTGGTATGTGTAAATATCTTCAATAGCTCACAAATTGGCGCTTGTTAAAATGCATTGCATTATTAGTAACAATACCATGTATTTTGATTCCAGGATTTTACGATTCCTACGAGCAGTTTTAACATCATATAAGATGGAACAGGAAGAATATATACATAAACTTCTCTTGATTAGATTGTAGTAGAATATCTTAGAGATAATTCCTATATTTTAGTATATCATTCGTTCTTATAATCGTTATTAAATAACTACCGGAGGTGTATAAATTCAAAAGACAATATCAAGAGACAACTACAGTTTACCATAGTATAGCACAGATAACAAGACCATCAAATACACAAAGAGAAAACAGACAAAATGAGAATGCAGGCGAATTTATAAAAGAATGGGTTTCAAGATGCACATATATATTAGAAAGCGAAGGAGTTATCGAATTATTTAGTTAACTAACATCTAAGCCAGCAAGGCCTATATACGTGTGGGCTGTAATGTGTGATCATTCATACATGATAGCAATAACGTAAAGATATAGACAAAGTGTTACCGACCGGATGACATCGTTTATTAAATAAGTTAATTAAAGAGCTTAATATATTTAAATGCATAAAAACTCAAATATAGTTGAAAGTGTTATAAGATAAGATATAATATGTAAGGTATTTAACAATTATTTTTATTGTACCGATTTCTACTGTTAAGATAACTTACCAGCCAGATGTTCAATCCTTGTATGATAAATTTGACCACCAGAGCGAAAACTGACACTTAAAATATATGAATCATGACTGCTGTCACGTACAAGGAAAGTTCCATCTGTGCAGTTTTTTAATAGCAATTCAGCTTCTTCCACTGTCAATGGACCCCAGTACCAACCAATCTTCAATAGAAAAACATTTAATATTGTTTATCGCACTACTTATCAGTAGTATAAAAAGATTTGTAAAACGTTTGAATAAAAACTTAGAAATCCAATTGAAAAATTCAACTTGTTTCTTATTGATAAGAAGTAAATAGTACAATATGGATGTCTAGAAAAGCGGATAATTTATTTGGTTCATGTACTTAAAATATGAATAACAGAAAATTTGTGTAAACGTCTTGAAATATAACAAAACGGAAATCGAACATTCTTTGCTTTATCAGTATGGGGTTGTGGAGATTACTAAGTTCCTGGTTGAGATCATGAATCAATTGATGTTAGACCACCGTTGGAAACCTGGAAGTACTGGACGGCCATTTCGTCCTAGTATGGGACTCCTCAGCTGTGCGCATCCACGATCCCGCACCCCGCGGGATTCGGATCCAGGACCTACTGGCTTCGCACCTGAGCATTTAACCATTAGACCACTGAGCCGGCATCCAGTGGTGTTAGTGTTGTGGATGCGTACTGCTGAGGAGTCCCATACTAGGACGAAACGGCCGTCCAGTGCTTCCAGCTTTCCAACGGTGGTCTAACATTAATTGATTCATGATCTCAACCAGATTTTTTGCTTTGTTGACTCAATTACATTTTTACGTAACATTCATATGGCAAATAGAAAATCCCATTGAGATAAACTCATCTAGAATAAAGCAAATTCATCGATATCAATGAGAAGATACAAACTACAAACCAAATTCAGCCTGAGAGTTGGAGATTTAAATAAGATATATGAAACTTGACAAATCACAAAAGTTCTTATAGTACAAAGTGATAATAGTCGGATAGCTCCTTAAATTATTTTAATTTTACTAACTCTTTGTAGATGTCCCTAAAACCCTTTGGAATTAATCAATATAAAGTACTTGAACCAAAATTCATAAAGAATTTTTCACTTATTCACTAAGTATGGAAAAATGGTTAAAGAGAGGAAACATTTTACTAAGCTTATTAATTTCAAATAATCCTACATATCTTTAAATGAAAAAGAAAAAAATTCAGTGTATATGTACATTAGTGTAAGTTCTTAAATCGAATATAATACAAGTGATTATAAGCATTAATTAATACTTAAAAGTAATTTAAATGCGAAAACCAATTGAATTTAATTGATAATCCATTGAAGATTATAATCCACAATCACATAGTACTAAATATTTTATTTTTACAGAACAATTTAATTTGGATCGTCAAATAATATCTAAACTGATAAATAAAGCGGTATATTATCCAAAATAAAATTATCATTATTATGATCTCCCAGTTAATCAGCATCATTTCTAATATGATCATAACTGAAATTTACATTACAGTAATTAACAAAAAAAACTTGGGAATACCATTATTGAGATCTTTTCTTTACTATAATCTCGAAAAAACAACCAACATTAGCTGAGTTTGTTATATTTGAATGTAGAATAAATGAATGGTAACCGCTAGGAATTATTTGTGGATTATTATTACACAGATTCTCAATGGATAATTACTAGGTGACTAGATTATATGTATATCCATATTCTTCTTGTCATAAGCATTCATTTGACTTATTGGCTACTGTTATACGATTTACCCTTCTTAATTTATTACCAGTTTATTAGTTACAGTATCCCATACAGCCACTTTTGACTTGATCTTATATAATAATTTTTTTAATTTTATGGTGTGATGCAGTCTGGTCGGCTTGTATATAAAGCACATATGTCTGAGATATACAATTCACACACTGGAGGCTGATATTTGTGTTCTGGGATGAACGGGATGGGCTAGGTGAGTTGTTATACAGAAGACTAATGAGTTAACTTAAGGCTGATAGTGCTGTTTGACACACCACTGATGTAGCACAGGGACAAGGTCATAGAAATCCATATTTTGATTGGCGATTTTGTCACATGATACTTGACGGGTCATAGGATATAACAAAGCTGAACAATAAGAGCGGGGAGGTAGTGAATGCACAAATAGTTTGAACGTCACGGCGCATCATATATAAATTGGAAATGTCGTTTACGGATGGTGAAGTAAATAACTTAACGAGGGTATTTCTCCCGGTTAATTCCATCCTGAAAAGATTCACTCAAAAAATATTATAGCATATTAAAAAAATTAGGATGTACAGTTCAGGGTTTGGCAAAACCAATAACAATTTTTAAGACCTAAACCGTCAATTATGAGGTGTAGATCCTAATTCTAGCTCTAATACCTGAACTACATATCATAATCTTAACCCCAAATAATTATCCTCTTAGGCCTCAATAACAAGTCTGAATCCCAATCATGGCATTATAAAACCCTCATCCATTCGTTGTATTCTGATTGGCTGAATGTATTAACAGCCTGCCAAACTCATTCCCCGATTCTCTCAAGCTCGTCCTTGTATTTCAACTCTAACCCAACATATAGAAAATAGCTAAATCTTGAATAGTGAATATATTCAATTATTATTTATAAATAACTTACGCGTTTTAAAAGTATCAAATCTGTTACAAACTTTTGATGAAGAAATGTATTAGCAGTAGTAGTAGTAGTAGTAATATCAGGTTTTGAAATATTCGTCGAATGTACTTTTTCATCAAAAGATTTACCATTAACTAAATTTGAACATATAATTTCTGAGTTTGCACATTTAATAATTTTGTCACCTTCATTCATATGCTCAACAACGTCATGCTCAGGATTTTGTACAAGCGTTTGATTATGATGTTGATGATGATCTATGAAACATGATGAGATATTTCTTGTATTCATTGAATGCTCATTATCTATTGTATTATTATTATTATTATTATTATTATTATCTACACTTGTTACATTGCCAATATTATCGTCCAATCTATTTGATTGTTTTTCTGTAAAATTTAAACACTGTAAAGTGATAACAGGTGATGAACAATCAATTTTTTTATTATCCGATGGAGATATTTTCCTACAATCAGATCTCATTTGATTTAGTTGACCAATAGTAGTATATTGGTTTTCTAAATTCAAATGAAAATTTCTTACAGCTTTGTTTTGTTTTGGATAATTTGTACATGTATTTGTTGTGTGTTGATTATTTGTGAACTTTATATGACGTTGATTGAAATCATGACTTGAATGATGATGATGATGTTGTAGTCGACGGTGATGATGATGGTGATAATGGTGATGATGTTGACAAGAATAATAATGGTGGTAATACTGTTGTTTTAGATCATGATAATGTGATGATTGTACAATTCGATCATCTTGTTCATATTGATTATTAGAAGAAAATGAAACTAACCGATTATGATCACAGTAATTGAGGTATCTTTGACAAAAACAACAATCAGATACACATGATGTAAACGATATCTCATTATCAAGATGTATTTCATTTAATTGATGTGAATTTATTGGACAACTTTGAGTACAAAAACAATTTATATCACTATATTTTGGAGAGATTTCATGAAATTTACTGTATGTTAAATCATTGAGAGACATAATTGAACACGAACATGAATTACTATTATTATTATTACTGCAAGAATTATTATTGGAAACTATAGGAGATTGATCAGTATGACAAAAACCTATTAAATTTTCAACTGATTTCTCATTAGATATTAATGATGATGAAAAGAATGGTAAACTTCCCTTTTTCAAATTGTTTATACATTCAATATTTGATCTGAATAATAAAATAAAAATATAAGAGACGAACTATATTTATTAATTGTTAGTTTGAACAATTTCAGCAGTTACATTTTAGTCGAGTTTTAGAAGTACTTTCAAAAAAAAAGAAGAAACAGTTGGTAATAAATATTAAGTTGTAATTATATATATACCCAGTAAATAACAGATTCAAACTTCAATCTACTTATTACTATTTGAACTGTGAAACAAGATCACTAGTCTCTATATAAACATTGTGACTTTAAGCTGAGTACATTAACTTGTATTGATTATGATCTTGGTGATTAATTATTTAAACTATTTTGAACTATAAATTTTGTAAGAGTCAGTCAGTCAGTCAGTAACAACGTAGAACTTCGTACGTATGTACATCAGTTCGAGTTGCCACACCACATTAGCACAGAGATGCAGTTGTCTATTCAAATCCCGTAGTGGTAGAGGTAGCAAGAGTATAAGCAGTAATCGGGAAGATTAGGGTTTGGAGATGTTATTTAAAGAGTATAATCCAGTGAAATAAATTTGGAAAGAGGAAAAAAGGGACATGAAGGATTCAGAAGATTAGAATTTGGGAGAACACAGAGAGTGGATGCACCTGCGCCATTGCAAACGATTTTGAGCCATGTCATTCAGGGATTTGTAATATTAGCTAGTTGACCAAAAATTCAGTGATTGATAGTTAATTACCACAGCCAACAATTAAAACTATTAATTTATTTAATAGCCTACTTCTATTGTGATATGAAAAACATGTATATTAAACTTATTTCATTAGCACTTGAATCATTTAGGATTCCGTTCAACTGTCATCATGAATGAATGATAAATATTAGCTTTTTAACTCACGACAAGTAAGTTGCTATTATTTGATCACAGATGTCTTAGGAATACAGCTCACATCTCCTGAGATCACCGGTTAAATAATAGTGAGATTAAGCGCTGAGTATTAGGGAATAATGGTTGTAAATCGTCACTGACTGAGATGGTTGGACTACATGTTACGCATGCCTGAACACCGATTACCACGACGTGCAATGCTGGCCAGTGTTGAAAACGGTTGAAAGAAAGAGGCGGCCAAACCAAAACGTGGCATCAATCCTTGAAGTCACTAACTTCTGGTCTGAGCAATGTTGGTAGTTGCAGACTAATAGGTTGGGATCCGCGCGACTATCTTAAACAATGGTTGGAAACTCTGGGTGACATGGATGTGGATCGATCACAATGGCGTAGGTGAGATTAAAATTACTTTATCTTTCTATGAACCACTTCTTTCTCTCTGCATTATGTCCTCATATGCAATCTTTATTTTATATATTACGACTACTGGAGTAACTACTTCTATGAATTTGGTGATCATCTTGTAGTGCTAATGAAGTGTGTCAACTTGGACCGATGTATATATATGCCTGGTCTTACGTTGTAGCTAACTGTCTGACCCCACTAAATATTTAATTATACGAAAATGTAGACAAATAACACTGAATTTTACAATCAATCTAAGTACAACAAAACAACTCTATTGAAATCGTTCCATAATAAAGGAAATTAAATAATGACACGTTTTTAAATGTATTTGAACATAAAAATCAGTTCTCCTATAACTGTCATAATTTGTAGATAAACCATAAAGTAAGTGGATACAGTATTAATAATAAACTGTTAGAGGTATGTGGCAAAAAATCATCCACTTAAATAATAATAATAATAAAGGTAATAATAATAAAATTGTGACAGAGCCAATCACTTTTCAATATGGATATCAGTTCAATCTTATGGAGATGTGATGCTAAAAAGTTTTAAACAAGGCCAAAATATTTTCCTGGTTTTGCACTATTTGTAATGAGTCCTTAATTAAATTTCAGTTTTTTAAGGAAAATATCTTAATTTACATGCTTTTCCAACCGATTAGTGTCATGTCCCGACAAGAATAGTGGATAGTAACTTTTGGGATCTATTGATGGACCAATACTAAACGTATATTTCTATTGTATAACGATTAAGTAACTAAACTATGCATATTCATATTCCGCTTATTATAAGCTTTATTTCGACCCATAAACTATTATTATACGTTTTATCATTCTTGAGTTATACCCAGTATATTAATTACTACCTCCCTCATTCACAGCCACATCTAGTTAATTCTTGTACAAATGTTGTTTCATATTTTATTGGTACGTTGTGGTCTGTTTGATTGGTATATAAAATCAGCATGTTTGAAATATGGTGATTCATATCGCAGAGGCTGAGATTTGCGTTCTGGACTTATCTGGCTGGGCTAGGACAGAAAGCAGGGCCAATCAGAACTCTAGGCTGCTCATACGGGTTTACGCGCCATTGTTCCGATCGATAAGTCACTGCTCCCTAATCGGCGGTCACAAGTTATAACAATTAGATCTCTACAATTATCAACCCAAAAATCACATCTATCCATCTGTTTAATTTGCCATACCACATTAGTACGGTAAGGTGAAATTATCAAGACAATAGTCGGAGTGGTAAAAGTCGTGACAGTATTAGAAGTAGTAGTAAGAATAATAATAACAATAGGGAGAAGTGGACAGAGACAATATAATTCAAGAAGGAAGAACAAATTTACGAAGTGAAAGAAATAAATATTTTCAGGAAAAAAGTGAATGTATTTGTGTCATTACAACCGATTCTAAATCATTCTATTTAACGTCTTTAACCACTTGTTACAATAATCATGAGGACATCAGCTCAGATATTCTGATTCTACCTAGATGGCTTAGTTGAACAGTCAATGATTATTAAATTAAATAAATGTATTTGAATTGTATCAATAACAATAATTGAATATAAATACTTTTACACTTAGTTGTGATAAACTACTGTGCAAAAGGAAAATAAATCAACTTACGATAAAATATTTCGATTAGAATTATTAATTTCACTTGATAATTGTATTTTTGTTTTAGAATCACTACAAAAATTATTATTATTATGTAGGTTAGATTTAATTTTGCCAGATTTTTCATCTGGTTGACTTCGTGATCTAATCGGTTCAAATTTTCTTATTTGATAATGATAGGAATTTGAAATAGAGGCAGATTTATTATTATGTATCGGTATGGAAGATGATACACGATCTGATGATGTTCTTGAACAATTTATTGTATGTACACGTTGAAACCAATTGGATAATTTTACAAAAATGTAATTCCATCGAAAACCAACAGGAAGACGTGAAAATTCTTCTTTAGCAATCTGGTGATGATTTGCATCATTTTTAGTACATAATAAATCATCTGAATTAAATTCATTGCTTTTAGTTAATGATATAAAATGTGAAGACTTTTTCAATTTCATTGGAGGTGATTGCGATTTGATTAATTTATTTGTAGTTGAATTTAATGACTGAAAAGAAGTTTTTGTTTGGAAGTATTCATCATCTAAAGTTGAATGATCTGTTTTCGGGAAAAATAATTTCAGATTATATGATCAAAATGTAAACGAATGCAATACGAAACAAAAGTTAATGAACTAATGAACATGACAGTCAATCAATTTCTCAGTACTACACGTACATAATTCGTCTAATTTATATTGGTTATTTTAGAAAATGATGATATCTTTCGGTGCGGTCCTGAATAATTTTCCTAATAAACCCATGAAATCTAAAAGACATCAAGCTGATCAGTGTGAAACCTAGAAGGATAGTGTAAGGTCTGTGGCCTGAATAAGCTACGACGCATGGTTGTAACACTTGGGTAACACAACTAGACAGAGAAAGTAAAAGACATATAGCCAACTGTATCCCCCAATCCCCAATAGTCAAACTCATAATTCATTCATATTTGTCGGTCGCCATGGCTATCCAGATAAGTTATAGTAGGTATCAACAAGTCTATCCTAATTCTCGTTTAGTACTAAACCAGATTACCGTTTCTACGACAATGGTCAATAGTATAAAACTCGATACGAAGTTGTTAAAATGAACTTTATTTCAAACGTGTAACACAAGGAATGAGACCAGGAAATGGTTAAACAGGAGAGTGAATTAATGTATCAATTCTGATGCTCTCGAAGAAATAAACTTCTACCAAGAAACTGATATCAAACAGTTATCCGACAAAGTTCTTAAATCGGTTTAAAACTAAGATAACATCAAAACTCTTGAATTCTGTCTCAAAGAAAAGAGTATATAATACTTCACCATTTAGAGGAAAATCACATAGCATAGTTTCGAGATAGACAAAAGAGAGCCTTCGAGAAAATATACTACAATCTCAAACTGATAGTTATTGAAAAGTTAAGCCTACACCCTTACCAATGCATTGAATAAAATCAAATACTCTATCATACAGTCTGTATCAACAGAGGGTATTTCTTGTAATTTTTTAAAAACATCAAGTCATATTTACTGTTTGATTTCATACAAGATATTTTTGTCAATTCGAGTCATTTTAAGAACCAAATATTGTAAGTTTCATTTAGCTCATATAACACATAAGCTTTCTTACAATGAGCTTACAATTTCGCGCAAAAATTTACGAGGCATTATTGAGTAGAAAAACACCAAAGAGAATTTAGAAATAGCCACATTCCTTTTAGTAATGAATAAATAAATTAGCATGAGGGATTATTTATAGAAACTGCTGAGCTTTGTAGTTCTAAGTTTAAATTAGACAACTATTAAAGATCGGGAAGCTATTTAGTTCTATTAAAAGACTTCTCAGCAATCCGCAACCACTATCCCACTGGGGGTCTAACTACAGTCAGTCCGTGAAGTAAACTATAGAGCAAATAAACCTCTTAAATTTCATAGTACGTACATTTGTACTGAAATATTTCAACTCTAAATGATTCACGAATACAGTAAGAAATCATTTAGATACAATTAAAATGCATTTTTGACCATCTTCATTCATTAGTTTGCTCCATAACTCTGTAAACCGTCTTTCTATTTTCGTGGTTCATAGGGAAAACAACCTTGAAAATAATCGTTTTCGGTGAAACGAAACCTACCAATCAGTTTAGTAGAAAAAATTACTTTCCAATTAATCTAATCACTTGCCAGTGAAATAACGAATTGAAACAAACGAATTTCATTTTATCTAGACAATTCGTTTATCATACAGTCCAGAAAAGATAAAACCAGACATTATAAAACAGTGAATTTGAGCCAAATCATATGATGCAAACCATAAAAAAAGGAAATAGTTAACTATAGACAAAAAATGCAAAGTTTTTAAAAGCTGTCTAAAGGAATGACGAAAAAAGTGATGTGGAAAATCTTCACTGCATTGAATTAGGAAAAATGTTAAATATTTCCAATTCCCCAAGTGAATGTTAACATTTCAAGATAACAATAATCGGTATGGTGATTACAATGTGAGTGATGGTAAAAATTACAATTTACAGTTAGTAAAGGTCAGAATATTTGACCAACGAAGAAGACTGTCAAAATTTAGTTAGTCAACGTATATTTAATTATTATTATGATCTTAAAAAGTCGTAAACAGTCAAGTTACTTAAAATAGATGGATTAAAGCTAACAGCGGAATCCAGGATGTACATTTCTTCTCATCTGGGACCCGTTAGGTGAATGTACATGCATTCGTGCTGAAGTTCACACTGAGATTCGAATCCATTACTTTTTGATCCAAACAAAAATACACTACCCGTCAGATTACGGAGTTTGCATAATCCCTAACCTGTTTAACGGGTAAGTGGTCAGCACTGGGGTATTGATAAGTCTTAAACAGGCTGAGAAGCGCGTCTTGGATTCTACAACTTCCTACAGTCCATATATTCTAAATCACTAATGACCTATATCGAATGTATCCACACGAGATGTACATAGACCAATAAAGACTAATCGAAATTCGGGACTGAATATCAAAAGTCAGATAACTTAAACTGTCATTAATATTATTTATTTATTTATTTCAACACATAAACATCGGTACAAGAGGGCACCAAATATATATGCGCCACACATTATTTTCATAATATTTGTGTGTGGGCTGTGATACTGCCCGGGTGTCCAAACCGAAGCAGGTAGTTTTTTTAGGGGGCCACACCCCGAGCCTTTGATCTAAAGGTCTGATCCACAAGGCAGTGGAGCATCGTGAGGAGATGCATTCCCATGGTAGCCTGTGACCAACGATTGGTTCATACGCCGTTTGTTCCCGAAGGATACTGGAGCCCATGTGCACCATTGGTTTGGAATTCGGTTAAAGCGCCGGACATTCGCTTTTCGTCCTCTCATTTTCGTAAACAACACCCCGCCACGAGAAGGCGAGGAATTCTAATTACATAAATTAGATTTCGACTTTTAGTTGAGGAAAGTTAACAATTATGACAAATTGAATTAATAATTTAGATGCTTTCAGAGAGAATTCTTACATTTTAGAGGTGATATTTTTTTCTCGAAAACTCACGTCGTCAGCTAAATTTTAAGTGAAAACAGTGTAGGAAGCAATTTCTTACAGATGCAATTCTACACAATTTATCAGACTGTCAAACACAGAGTCTTAGCTTAGCCAAAGTCACAACAAGTAAACTATTTGGCCTGATAAACTTTATGTTTCTAAAACGCAAATCAACACAATTAGTATACAAAATAAACAGTTAATACATTCTATTGAACAGGGAAAATAGAGACATGAACAACATAACGAACAGTAACTAGAGGATTGGAAAAATGAGTTAACAAACCGAATAAATAAAGGCTCTCTATCCGTCTTCAGAATTCTATATGCCACTTTCACCTATTCCCTTTATAAGTGTTGTAGTTGGTGAATAAGCAAGGCAAGGTCAAGGGGAGTTAATATGGTAGTTAGCGTTTCATGTTATCATTAGTGAGTTCGATTATCGACCACACTTTTCGAACAGGAGTAAATCCGGTCTGTCAAGTTAACCATTTCATGAGTGAGACATCTTATCGGCTATTGCAGGTGAGTCATCTGTGACAATACTAACCAACTCCCGATTGTTAGTCGAACGCTTGAAGAATGAAAGTAAACGTGACAGCAAGGCAGATGTTTTGCAACTTATAAAGGCTACTTAACAGATACTGACATTAAATTCATATCCAATGCACCTATTTGATACAAAAATAAATTTTCGCTATTGGTTTTGTAGGTCCCGTCAAAACCAACAACATCAAGAAAACTAGTTGTCGAATTCATTTGATCAGCAATTGAAAAGAAAAGGTACTGAAGACAATTTCGTACTCAAAACACCCACCAAGTGATATGATGTGAGTTTTCAATTTAGCGTAATCACCTAATGTTTACAATATAAATAGGCCCACTGCTTACCAGGAAGGTTGGCCTGCGAAAACACTTTCTGACGCATGTTAAAAACATTTTGAGGGTTCAGGCGCTTCCATAAAATTGGTAAACGGAGTCAGTCAGCTACAACGTAGGACCAGGCACATATATGCATCGGTCCAAGTTGCCATACCTCATTAACACAACAAGATGAACACCGGATTCATAAAAGTAGTTAATTCAGGTGGTAATATATAAAAGAACGATTGCAATGAAAATATAGTACAGGAAGAAAGAATTAGTTCGTAGAAAGATATGAAGCGATTTTATTCTCTTAGTTTAAGGGAAGACAAAGAGTGTATACACCTACGCCATTGTCATCGATTCTGAGCCGTGTCACCAAGAGTCTCCAACCATCGGTTACGATAGTCACGCGGACCCCAACCAAGCAATCTGCACCTACTAACATGGCTCAGACTAGAGATTAGTGTCTTCAAGCACTGATGCCACGTTTTGGTTTGGCCGCCCCTAATTCTTTTCCAACCATCTCTAACACCCATTAGCATTGCACGACGTGGTAATCGGTGTTCAGGCATACGTAACACGTGGCCCAACCATCTCAGTCGATGAAGATTAACAACCTCATCAACTGATTTATCATCGTTCCCTAATACCCTGCGTCTAACCTCACCATTACTTACCCGGTGATCCCAGCAGATGCCAGCAATATTTCTAAGAAATCTATGGTCAAATACTAGTAACTTACGAGTATCTTCTACTCTTAATGGCCATGTTTTGCTGCCGTAAAGTAAAACAGAACGGACTGCCGAGTAGTATACTTGTCCTTTTATTGATAGACGGATATCTCGCCTTCGCCAAAGGTGACGTAAGTTGGCAAAAGCCAAACGAGCTTTTCGAATCCGTGCTGAGACTTCGTCCGATACCAGCCCATTAGGGCTGATCAGACTTCCAAGATAAGTGAAGTTGTCAACGCGTTCGACTACTTCACTCCCTATCCTTAGTTCAGGTGTTGACGCACAGCATTGAATGCTGCTGTACCCGTGTTATAATCTCTTTCTTACGGTTACGACCCAGCTATTCCTATTGCTTAGTATTCTCGGACACCGATTCACTCGACAAAGCCCCAAATCAGAACACGGTTGAACAGGAAAGAGATTATATTCCAA